TGGAATAGGAATAAGGGGATGAGACAATATTCGACTCACTTCCAATAAACTAACAATATGATTACAAATGTGATGAGTTTCTCATCATATAAGTATTTACTTAAGCAGAGGTGGATGGTGCCTAGCAGTGGAACCTAACATGCGCATTTCATCCGATTTGGAACTCATCAGTTCATTGCACTTTCGCCTCAGAGTTGATATTCATTACGCAACTCGGACTCAGTACCGTTATTATGTATAAGCTGATATTCTTGTACATATTTAGGTCTGTTGTTATTTTGATAAAGTTAGTAACATTGAATAGTGAAACTTGCTAGTAGATATTGAAAGTTTTGAATACTGTTTAGCTGTATGACCAACTTATTTTGCTGACTAATCCATTGTCATCACAAAAACAAAATGCATATTGATATAGAAATAGTACGTGTATCATTCATTACATTAAATAGATCAAAATTGACTGTACGTTTAGTTTCATATATAAAATCATGGTTCATAGTGGAACTAGTAGTCTTTATTTTCTGTACTCTAGATAAATCCTTTCAAAGAAATCAATAGTAATCACCTAATGGTATGGTCAATCAATAACTATAACATTCAGTCAGTCAATTAGTTCAAGTAATTTTACTACTTTCCTTTTTTCTCCAATACGAATTCAGAATTGTTTAACGCCATAACCTTTTTAACAAATTAAGTGAAAAACAGAGAGAGAGAGAGAGAGCCATCTTATTTTATTGAGAAAATTTCAAGTACACTTCATAATTAATTAACTGTGACTTGTATGTAGTAAGATTTATGTGGGATTTTTTTTCCTTTATTACTTGATTTATTCTATGATATTGATGAATTCTGATTGTTAGTGTTAAAATACGGTAAATAAAAGGATAAATTATTCATTCAAATTAATGTACACTTTAATTATCGCTTACAAAATAATTTCATTGATTCCTTATGTCAAAATTAGGTCATTTATCATATGAACATCAATTGCTTAGATGTTAATTGTGAAGAAGAAGAAGAAGAAAAAGAAAAACTCATATTTTTTTGTTGTTGGTTTGTCTAAGTGATAAAAGAAACAATAGTTAATGTTTTTCTTTGTGATTTTTACTACATGATAAGAAATAATTAAGTAGGTCAATCAATGTAAAAAAAAAACTGACTGACATTGAATAAAGCATACATACATACACACAGAGAAAAACTTAAACATAATTCTTTTTTTTTCATTGAAGTAATCAATCGATCAATGTTAGACCACTATATTAGAAATCAGAAATTCTTTGTATTAGTGGAGAGGTGATTTGTAATGGTTAGAGAATTTTCATACTTTAAATTAAAAATTAATGTTAGCTTAACGACTGACTCAATGATCTAAAGATTAAATGTTCTTACGTGAACCTGGAAGGTTTGAGTTCTATTCCGCCAAGCGCAGAGTTATATGTGTACACTCCTGAAGAGTTTGATACTAGTGTAGTATATGGAGAAGTCAAGACCAGATGGAATATATATTTACGTATTTGGAGAAGACACGGATATGTACGTATAGTCTTCAAACATCGATTTGCAATAGATAATCAGGTTATTGACTGTTTTCTCTCAAATCTGGTCTTCAGAATACACTGATATCATCATGAAT